CCATCATAGCATCCCATATGGCACCATATGGGTGCCACTTCAGATCCAGCTCCCTGCTAATGCACCTGAGAAAGTAGTGAGAGATGGTCCAAGTGCTTGGCCCTCTGCACCCATGTGGGAGGATCAAATGAAGCTCCTGTCTCCTGGCTTTGGCCTGGCTCAGCCTAAGCAGTTGTAACCATTTGGGGATTGAACCAGCAGATGGAAACTAAGATTCTCTCTCCCTCTTTCTCCCTCGCTCTCCCTCTCTCTCCCCCTCTCTCCCCCTCTCCCTCTCCCTCTGCTTCTCCTTCTCCTTCCCTTTCTCCCCCTCCCTCCCTCTCTCCCTCTCTTCCTCCCTCTCCCCCCTCCCTCTCTCTATTCTCTCTCTCTCTCTCCCCTATCTCTGTTTGTGTCTCCCTCTTTCTCTGTAACTCTTTCAAATAAATAAATAAGTCTTAAAAAAAGAGGAAGGGTGTCCCTCAATTCTGCAGTATTTGAGAATTGTTTTAAAGCCTCACTAAGGAAATCAATGGACAACTGGGAATCCTGCAGTAGGCAATTCCATTTTAGTTCATAAGCTTATTTGTTCCTCTGATAGTTCTAACTAATGTGCTAAGGGCTGACAGTTACTCAATTTTTATATATGCCAGATATGTTGTGTGTATTTGTTATGTTTTCTGTTTTTCACATTAAAACCAACAACTTCATTAGGGGAATTCTCTAATCTCAATGTTGTCATTGTGCAAATGAGGAAACCTACAATTTGAGTATTGGATTTTTTTTTTCCTTGAGAGGCAGACAGAGACATAGGGATCCCATCCTTTGGTTCACTCCCTAAATGCTCACAATGTCTATGGCTGGGCCAGGCCCAAATAAGAGCTGGGAATGTAAGCCAGGCCTCCCATGTGATTGACAGGAACCCTATTTCTAGAGCTATTACTGCTACTTCCCAGGGTCTGAGTTAACAAGGAATCAGGAGCAGAGCCAGGAATTAAACCCAAGTACTGTGACATAGGCTGCTAGCACCCTAATTTATGTTGTAACTGCCAGGTTAAACACATCTGCCCTGGGGTCCTAGTTTAAATGACTTACTGAAACACCTGACACAAAGCCAAAATCATGAATGACAAACATGAATCATGACTTCCTTCTACAATAAAGCATCTCCCCCTCCTTGTCGTCTCTTTCCCTTGCCCCAACAACTGGTCCTTCCACTGAGACTGAGATGAGCAATCTTAAAATGTCCATCTGCCTTGTGTGAAGAAATTAGGCCTGCAAACATCTGCAGCTTCTGACCTTTCTCCTGCCTCAAGCTTCAAGCCTTCCTTCTGGATAGAAATCAATCAAAACACTTAATATCTATCCCTGGTAGGGTAGCCATTCACAATGCCAGTCTCACTTTTAAACACTGACCCACAGCCTCACCCATAGGTTTGTCTTAAGCTCTTAGCCCAGTAGCAACTCGTTCTAGTGATCATTTGGGTCAGTATTGTCAAGTGGACCTTAGGGCAGTTAGCTTGCTTTGTGATTATCTGCTTGTTTCAGTATGTCTTAGCAAGTTGTTAAATGATAGTTACTCTGATCTTAGTGAATTATTCTCACCTTTCTTCAGTCTATAAATTAAATCATTTTTCTTTACTTCAAGCATATTTTGTCTTTCTTTCCCAAGTAGTTTCCGGTCCCTTTTACTTCTTACTGCTAGAGAATTCTTTCTGTCTCATTTTACATTGTCCATTCGTAGTTCACCTTACAGTCTGCACTGTCCTCCAAAATGCACACGTGTGTGTGTGTGTCCTGTTCACTAGTTTCTCAACTGTGCTCTGGAATTTTTCTTTTTTCTTTTCTCTTCTTTTCTTTTCTTTTCTTTATTTTTTGACAGGCAGAGTTAGACAGTGAGAGAGAGAGAGACAGAGAGAAAGATCTTCCTTCTGTTGGTTCAACCCCCAAATGGCCGCTAAGGCCGGCGTGCTGTGCTGATCCAAAGCCAGGAGCCAGGTGCTTCTCCTGGTCTCCCATGCGGGTGCAGGGCCCAAGCACTTAGGCCATCCTCCACTGCCTTCCCAGGCCACAGCAGAGAGCTGGACTGGAAGAGGAGCAACTGGTACAGAATCCGGCTCCTCAACCGGGTCTAGAACCTGGGGTGCCGGCGCCACAGGCAGAGGATTAGCCAAGCGAGTCGCGGCGCCGGCCATGGAATTTTCCAAGCAAATAACATTATCAGCCTCTTTTAACATCTTACTCTTATTTTATGAGATACGTATTCAAATACTTTTGATGAGTATTACTGTATGTTTCATCTTCCATGAAGTGTACATGTTCACGGCTTTATGCAGTGCTCCATCAATTGTCTAGAACACTGAGTTTTTTTATTTTAAAATAAATAAAAATAAGTGAACTAGTCTATGAGACATCCTTTCTCAAATGCTTTTCATTCCATCTTCAAACAAATAATAAATCATATTTTATGTAAAAAAAACATGGTGAGACATGGTCTGTGTAAAAATTCTTTATTAAACAAATCTAATTTACCTTGAATGCTTGCATATTAGAGTCAATAAAATTGAAAGCTTTTTATGCTTTTTCACCTGGGATACTAATACATTTGTGATAATAATTTAGCAATTGTCAGAAATCCTTCTGGCCAAAGAATCATGACTATTGTGTGTAATGGCAGAGTAAATTTACCGAAAAAGTAGATTTTTCTAAAGTAGAAACAAACTTTAAAAACTGCATACTTCCAGATATTTTTAGTATTTTAGTGCTATTTGTTATTTAAATTATAAGTTTTTCTTTATTAAATGGGTATAAAAATACAGTTTTGATAAGTACTAAGAGTAGGTTTTAGGGCTACTGTGTGGCAATAGTAGTTAAGCTCACACCCTGTTTTGCAATGCCTGGTTTTGAGTCCTGGTTTTGCTCCCTATTCCAGCTTCCTAATAATGCAAATCCTGGGAAGCAGCCAGTGATAGTTTGGGTTCCTGTCAGCTGCATGGGAGACCTGACTGACTTCTAAGCTCCTAGTTTCAGACTGGCCCAGTCCTGGCTAGGGCATTCGTTTGGGGAGTCAACCAGTAGAGAGAATCGGTCTGTCAGTAAATACAATAACTTCCTTTAAAATAAGTAAATGGATAAACATTAAGTATTAGAATTTATTATATTTTACTGGAGGAGTTTTGAGTAGAGGTAAAGAAAGGTTTGTAAGCAGAAATAAATGAGAATCCGTAGAAGGCACTATAACAGTTCTTCGCCGACTAAACATTTATCTTCTCAAAGCCTCCAGATTAGGGATGGGTACTATCAGCACATGGATACTTGATCCATTTATTAGAAAATATTTGTGTTATGCTTTTAGGGCAAAACTATAAAAATACATCATAAAGATGTTTCAATGGCTAAAGAAGATTTTAGTCTTTGCTTTTAAAAGTCTTTAACAGTATCATAAACTTGGAATGTGACTGCTTTGGGTTTCGTCTTCCTTGAGTGCTTAAAAATGGACTGTGAATCTATAATCAGATAAAAAGTATTGCTCTTTGGTCCATTAAAATGTATGCGACTTTCTTCTGGCCACCAAGATTTTATATTCAGGACTCGTAATACTTACCTATGTATGACAGTCCATGTACATATAAATAGCCATGTCCTTACACATACAGAGAAGAATCATTTCACCCATGTTATTGCTCTAAGATTTGTTGTTCCTTTTATTCCAGGGCTCTGATATAACTTGCTTGACTGAACAAGTTTTACATATATCAGCAATACCTGGGCAAGACTCATCTGAAATGTATTATCAAATTTGAAATTCCATCATATTCCACAAATGCCGAAAACTGATCTACTCATTTTTGCCTTTCTTAATGATAATAGGCTTGCAAAAAAAAACATTAAACATAAACCTAATCCATTGATGAGGATATATTTAATATATTTATTTCAGATTGCTGATAATTTAGAGAATACTTCACGCAGAGTGAATTCATCAGGCACTTTGCTTTCTTAATGCTGTTCTCAACTTTCCAGCAAGGAGCCAAAATTTCACCATTTTCAATTTAGAGCAGAAAAGCATTTACAGCAGCTGTAGCTCTTAATTTGACATTTAGTTTCAGGTCATTTTCATGTAAATAGGAAACAATAGAGACCTGCTTACAATTTCCATAAAGGGGATGTTTGCTTCTATTTTATCATTTTCCTCTGATAATTTTATTTTCTCTCTGCGATTAAAGGCACCAATAATTGTTCACAGTTATTATTTTTCATCTTTACAGAAACTTGTGAGTTCCACTCTTTATTGCCTGACAACTCCCAGTATCTTCTATATTTCAGTCATATACACGATCCATTAATGTATCTAGCTCATCCTTCCCTTAATCTGGGGTGGGTTAGGCAGGTCAGGCTTTCTATTTCTCTCTCTAATACATTTTCTCCAGGTTTTGCAACCTCTTTTTCTACCCTTAAAAAAAAGGGGGGGGGGTGAAAATTTGGAATTGTTCCACTGAATACAGCTGAAGGAAGTTAACATTTTGATTTATATTGCTTTGAACATGCCCAAATGTATTACCAACTGTTAAAATGTAATTCTGGGCTTTTAAAAATAAATAAGTATTTTATTTCACATCTCTTCTGAAAAAAAGGAAGCTTCTTTATGCTCAAGAATAGACATTTTCAGTTCCATCTATTTTACGACCTGCACTGGAATTTTCAAGTGTGTGTCATTGGGGAGAAATTGCATTTTTGTGTACCTCTTTTAAAATATGCTGATGTATGCAGATTAAGTAAGTAGGAAGTTATTTTCGTAGGTAGTCATTTCCATTTCTTCCCCTTCTAGGAGTAAAAATAAGTTTTATTTCATGGATCTTCTGAACATAGCAGCAAAGCATGTCTCCTCGGACTTGTTCTCAGCTGAGGGAGTTACAGTGGTTGACACAGTCCAGGGTGGGGAGGTGGTGGGTGACTGTTGACTGTGCCTCATCTGTTTTTTAGCAGAGTCTCATCTGTGCTTTTGCTTCTTTCTGCCCCAGTGATATGACAAGAACATTGGAGATTTCTGGGGAAGGAGGCCCCTTGGGGATACATGTGGTGCCCTTCTTTTCATCTCTTAGTGGAAGGTAAGATGTCTTTTTTGTTTCAGAAGCTCTTGCTAATGAAACCCTGATAAGCTCATTTTCCCAAACATTTTTCAGAAGAGGATTAAGTATGAGTATCCATTATTCAGACGGACACCTCAAAATTTACTTTTGGTGGCCAATTATATGCTGAAAACAAAATGAAATCATTTACTTCAAGGATGCAATGAAGAAGAAAAACTCACAATGTCTCCGTTTATACGTGATGGTGAAGTGTGAAGTACTTTCTTAAAGGATCCTTGACAATGATATATAGTAAACAGAATCCTTGGTGAAGATTTTAGCCTAATGTGCGACAAATGTTGTAACTGCATTTTTAATCCTCCAAAATACACTTTAATAAATGAATATGATTATTCCAGGCTGATATTTTCTGATTTTCTACAGGTATAATAATGACTGGAATAATAAACGTGCAGCATTCTAATAGCTGTATCAAAAGCTGTATGTGTAAATAATTTTAGCCATAGAAGTAAAGCATCATTACATTATTAATTTTTTCCTGGAATAAGATTTATTCAAAGATAATTTACCACCTCCTTCTGGAATTTTAAAGACATTATGTTGCTAAATCCACATTGGTAAGTGGTAATTAGATTGTGTCAGCATTTCTTGAAATTGACATCTAACTAGATATAAATCTTCCCATGGTGGCAATGAAGTGTGGGCTTCAGCATTAACACTGGTACTGTTTTAACAACCCTCATAACCGGTTTTAGATATTAAGTTACTTTTCTTGATGACTGCTCTGGCCCCAGATTGATATTGACAGTAGTTGTCAGAAACTTAAAAGAAAATCAGTGTCTCACTCATATGACATGATTTTAATTAATTGTCAAATTTGTTTTCTTACACACACCACTGAAAAGGCAGAATGCTTTATTTTAACTTAGCATATCAAAGAACCGAAAAGTCCATCGATTTTCCCAAGGTCACACAAAACTCAAGTCTTCAGACTTGTACTCACTGTATTGCAATTTCTAGAACTCAAATTTTCCCAAAGGCTATATAGTATTAATTTGTTGGCTTTGAATATTTATTCAATTCATTCTGCCATACAGTAAGAAGCACAGATTTGGTCATGATATTTTGGTTGGCATCACATTCAGCAGGTAGCCATCTGCTACCTTTAATTGCAAAGTCATCATTTTTTTTGTTGTTTCCAAATAACATCTGATGCCAAGCTCTTGCTGGAATGAATGTTCCCTAAAATGAAATGAGCTGAAAAGCTAGCGGCTCTCATTACCTAGTTTCCTGTATGTGTTAATAAGCATGTTTATAAATGTTATGGGTTATGGCACAGGACAAACTCTGGTTGTTTTTGACAGACAGGGTGAGTATTTACTCAGTTGTCATGAGAAATTCTAATGTCGTTTGGCAGAAATGTACTGATAGAGCTTTGTGAAATATCAGAGCGGTTAAATTGCCATGTCCTTTAGTTTAATGAAGCTGGAAATAGAACACAAGATCTTCCCAATTTCCAAACAACAAGGAAATATACAATGTGACAGTCACCATACTTCAGTTTCAATAGCTTGGAAAACGAGCTGACCCTATAGATGAGAAATCACCTTCTCTCAGTTCAAATGAAGGAAACAGACTAGAATTTATTGATTTCCTCCCTTTTTCTTCCTGGTTCTGATTCCCAGCAAAAGCCTTGTAGAATGGTAGAAAGAGTATTGGTTGGACCTGTAGTCAGAAAAATTCTGTGTTCTTTTTTTATAACCTTGAGTAAGTCCTCTAAATTTGCCTCTTGTGAATACTTATTTTCACATCAAGGTTAATGGGATTAAATGGCTTTAAAAATGTGAAAGCTCCTTGTAAAACACACAATGGATACATGTATAAATTATCCATGTTATTATTTTGGCTAAAACATTCAGAAATGACATTTTATTATAATTCATGGTCAGCTGTTCAGTAACTTAGTGAAATATTTCTCCTTTTTTTTTTTTGCTATCTACTAGTATTATAGAAAGGAAATTCAATTAAAAACATTAAAAATAATCTGGAAGTGGAGACATGAGCCAATAAAAGTTAAGAAGTAATGAGTACGGTTGAACCAGCTCACTAACTCAACCCATGTGTGTAGATGCAACTGCATACAGAGCCTGTCAGAGAAGTCTCTGACTTGGTAATTCCACGTGGTTTCACTGTGTGAGCACAGGGGCTTAGTTAAGGTCAGAGTGGTAATTTAGCTCTTAATTTCCTTCCATTTATTGGCTTGTGTCATTATTTTAAATCAGAATTTACATTTAATTCTTTCTAAGACTACTGTAATTGGCTTTGCGTCCAAGATATTCTTCTGTTTTTTCTTTCAGAAAAATACTGCCACACCTGTTGTTTAAGTATGAAGCCTAATCTAAACTAGAACATTCTGAGTAAAACTTAATGGCTCCTGCACTAGATAATGTCTCCAAAAATTGATTAGCTACCATAGCACAGGGACACTGTATGTTGGTTGTATTAGGGGCCATTGGCTTTTGTAATAAAAAGCAAAACATAGTTAAAGTACTTGCCAGAAGAAAGCAACTTAATTTCATTCCTTTGTCAAAAGTCAATATCAATTTTTAGAACTAAAAAGAGGATATCCATTTTTTTTCAGTAAAGATAGCATAACCTTCCTTTCACAGTACAGACAGTGAACCCTGAGAACGAGAGAGGAAGGATGGGAAAAGAGAGAAGGTGGGAGGAGGAGACATACAGGCAAAAGTGCTGAGCAGTAGAGTGGTCAATGCCATGTGATATACGTAGTAGAAGAACAGGAGGCAAGGAAAAGGTGTTGGGACCTGAAGGATTGTAGGAAGAACAAGAACTATTACCAGTTATGTTCTGCAGAGCTGAGGATTTCTGTATACCTTATCACTGCTCATTAAAGCAAATTAACTGGTTAGTTTTGGCCTATAACTCCTGTTCAGGATTAATCTTTAAATCCCACAAGTCTTGTTCCCAACTGAGACAACTACCACAGCCCACCATTGGGGGCTAAAAGAATAACGAAATCTTGTTTTCTGAGCTTCCTGATAGAGGTCTGGATGAAATGCAACTGGAGGGGATCCATCCCGTCTGTGGGGTAGAGAGGGCAGCAGTGTTTTGTTGCCAGGGATAGAAATAATAAAATCAGTCAGTTTTGCATCTTACCAAAATTACCTCTGACACATGGGTTTTACAGTTGGGCTTATTCTGTCAATAAATTTTTCATGGAAAGTTAGGTTATTTAGATCAGTGAGGTTCACATAGCGTACTCCAGCTGTAATATGCTAGCTAAATTGCAACCCAGTGGCCTGAAAGAATTAATTCATCTCCCAAAATGTGAAATTAAATCCTAGGGAGTAACATTACATGACTGATGATGTACTGAATTAAATTAAAGGAAGACTTGAATGCTTGTTAAAAAAATATCACTTACATAAACTAGTTTATAACCACATGTGAGCCTCCTAATGGATCGTGTTATTGTGAATCCACCATAACAGAAATCCAAAATGTGAACTCTCAGCGAGCTGTTTAATTTAGGGAAAAACATAACACAATTTTGATCTATTTTATTTTTTTACATAGCAAATAATTCAATTCTTAAATATTATGTTAAGAAAGAAAGGTAACACAAAATATGTTGGAAATGAAGCCTACGACCTCTCCCACACATTTGGGCTGCTGACTCTGAGCCATCCTTGTGGTGGGCAGTGTGACTCTACAGTTTTCCCTGCTGTAGCAGCACACTCTATTCATTTAATATTGCTGCAGCAGAGAGCTGAGTATCTCTGCATGTGCCTTGTCTATTGATGTCTTCAGGTGACCTGAGCCCATGAAATCACCTGAGGCCCTGGAGGCAGAGGTTCAACATTGTGGCTGATCCTACGTGAGGATTGCTTCCTCCTATACTTCCGTTATAGGATGCCCTTTTTCTATGGTTGACTTTATTATTTGTGTAAAATGTGCTCATATTTTATTTAGATTTGAAATTTAATGGAAAGGGACTATGGAGCAGCACGCACAGCTCTTATACAAAAGAGAGTGAAAACGTAGAAAAATAAGAGGCCAAGGGAAGTAGAGATGGGAGTTTCTTGCTTCTTGGAGGACATATGTGTCTACATTTCTCACTCTGAAACACAAATAGGACCCTGTCCTGCCATAAGGAGAAGGAGAGGCTTTCAATGAGGAGCAGCTGAAAGAGATGCAAGTGTCGTTTCTCTTCCTTTTGGGTTTAGTTGTGATTTATGCGATTTGAGCCATAGCCACAAAGCCCTAAGAGCTGATCAGAGTCCTCTCTGTCCCCGGGCTCATCCTGGTTCACACTTCAGCTTTCCCACAGCCCCCTTCCCTCATCATGTTACTGCTGTAGGTGGAGTTGTGGGTGGTGAGTGCTGTACTCCAGCTCCACCAGCCTGGGGCACTGGTTGGTGAGCAAGGCCCTTTTCTGTGGCACTGGCTTCTCAGTGTGAACTCTCAAATCGTAAGTTGACTCTAGGCTTCTAAATGTCTCCAGGTTTTTAACTTCTGTACACCAACCCTGTCCTGAACAATTCACCTAATCCTGGTCCTGTGGCTTTTTCTCATTTTCTTCTTGCCTGAACACAAAGAAAATGCTCAACACAAACATGATTCAGTCTCCCTGACAAATGAGACTGAACTTCCCTCTAAACTGAGTAATATGTCTTGAGCCTAAAGATTTAAGTCTTAAAATGTACATTATTATAACAAGTACCAAGACAGAAAAAAATTACCATGAATACCCAGTCCTCTCCCATTGCCATACAAGAGGTCACCATCTTAGGGCTAACTCAGACCCACTGATTCCAGTCTACTGGGATGCCCTTCTCCAACCCCCTAGTGTTTGGTGTCCTCAACTTCACCTACAGCTGCTTTACTGCAGACAGGAGGAATGGGGTCAGACATTGTTCTCTGGCGTGGTATTTATGTATATTTGTCTTGAAAGGAAAGGCTTTTATTTTTTAGTGGGTTTTTGTTTTTGTTCTTGAGAGGGGAGAGCTAAGGATTTAAATGACCATTACCTGATGAGAAAGTGTAGTTTCTTACATAAATGCATATCAGCCCTTACTTCTGAATAGTTGTGAGGAAAGAGATAATTAGCATGCCTTATTATGCAGTAGTTCTATTACAACCTAAACTTTCCATCTAGGATTCTAGGACTCTTCATCCGAGGCATCGAAGACAACAGCAGGTCCAAGAGGGAGGGGCTCTTTCATGAAAATGAATGTATTGTCAAAATCAACAATGTGGATCTCGCGGACAAAACCTTTGCTCAGTAAGCATTTTTTTCATTGTTTTGTTTACTCTGTTGATTCCTAGAATGGTTATAATCCTTGTGGAACTCACTACCATCAAAATTGCAGGTAGAATTTTCCACCAATTCCTTTTGAGTGACCCTAGGACATCTGTTGTCAAATGTGTCTTATGTTTTAACATACTCAAAGGTGGCCCACACATGTCCCTGATGTCTCTGAGAATGTGGAACTGCAGATGGACCAAGCCTGCCTGCCTGGCTGTCTTGCTGTGGCATCGATGGATGGGTTTGTTTTTCCTGGGCAACGGGTCAGTTGGGCTGGTATTTAATGGCTCTTTCCAGACTGTTAGTTCAGCTTATTAATTAACTTGCTTGATGTCAGCAGTTTTGCATCAAGTAAGAAATCTGTGAGGGATCGCTATGAAGACTCACTGAATAAAAGAAACAAATGGAAAAAATTAAAATTTGAATATACTCCCTCTTTCTACTTGTGGAAATGTTATAGGAATGGCTTCTTGTGACCAAGAACTAGAAGATATAGCAGTCTGAAAGATGTGTCTGTGTGTGTAATATATATAATATATAATTATGTTTCATATTATATTACATATTATAATATATATATATAATGCAAGTTGGTACTGCAGTGGGATTCTGAATGCAGGAAATAACTATAATATGCATCTCTGCACATTAGTTGTTGATACTGTGGATGTGGGTAGGTAAGGGGGTGACCAGTTATAGGAGGAGAAGTAGGTGCTGCTTGCATAAGCATTAAAGAAATGAAGCATAAAAGAATCTATTTTGTTAAAATAATGAATGATAGATAAAATTATTATTAACAGTATTTTATAGACTATTGGCTGTGCTCTCTACATAGGTATGTGAAACAGACATCCTCATTTCTGTTTTATAGAAGTAGAAACCGAGGCTCATGAAAATTCAGTATGGAGTTAGGTTGGGGTATAGAAATCAACTCCTCGTTAAGCAAAAGCAACGTTAAGGAAACCAAGCAGAGACGCTGGGCAGCTGTGAAATCCTCCCTCTGTGGAGAGTTAAATGCTTCGCTGAAGGGAGGGAGCTATGACAGCACTAGGAATGACGATTAGTTATTAGTTGGTGTGACTGTGGATAACAGAGGCCTGAAAGAAAGTCAACTTAATGAGAATTATATATATTTTTTTCTAATGACAAGTAAGTGCAGAGGTGGGCAGAGCACCGTGCACATGGCATCTTCTGGCACCCGTTGATCTGGCACCCTCCATCTCTGCTTTGCTTGCATTTCCACATGGCTGCTATTTTCAGACTGTATCATGGCCACAAGATGCTTATGGGAGCATCATGAAATAAGAAAAAGAAATGTAGGAAACATTTCTGCCTCTCAGTTAATCTAGCCTGTTTTAAAGAACGTTTTGTTAACCCCATCACTTAGGTCTCATTGTCAGTAAAGGCTGGGAGCAGCCATTACAAGTCATGTCTCACCAAGAGTCCTGAGGAAAAGGCGGGGGTGGGGGGTTGGGGGGATGTGTGGTACTGATTTTAAGGAAGAACTCCTAAGAATAATTGTGTGTTAATTACAGAGTTCAACCAATAGTATTAAGTAGAACAAAAAAAAAATACTAAAAGGGATAAAGTATTAAGTTGTACATCAACAGTCAGGACAAGGGCTGACAACTCAAAGCGCTGCAGTAGAAAAGCAGAAAATGCAGGTCCTTTATGATAGAATAATGAAAATGGTACCTGTTGAACTGACAGCCCCTGGGATGATCAGGCACAATCAAAACACCTGCCAAAATGTTCTCATGTCAGAACTGAACTTCCTGAGCACAAGCCTTGTTAGAGAGGATCTGTGTTTATAACAAATTCCTGGAAAAAAAAAAAACTAATAATCTGATTTAAAAATCTATTTTTTACCTAGAATTAAAGTTTGTTTTTTGTATTTATTTCAGTAATCACTTTTGGTTAAATTTTCAGGTTTAGAACTACTTAAAAGCTAAGCTTGGATGTTGGGCAAGCTATTTAATTTCTCTGAACCTCCCCTTCCTCATTTACAAGATAGGAGCCAATTATACTTACCTAGCACAGTTGGTAGTTAGTTATGGTAGTAATGTATATGTAATATCCAGTGTAAGGACACCCGGATGCAGGTAAGAAGTGGTAATTAGTGTTTGGTTAGCAAAACCAATGTAGATAGTGATGTTGATAATGTCTCCTATACTATACTGCTTCTCTTTGCCACCTTGCTGGGATAATTTAAAAGATGGCATTCAAGTCATTGTACACCTGTTAATTCTCTTTCCAGGGCTCAAGATGTCTTCCGTAAGGCAATGAAATCTCCAAGTGTGCTCCTCCACGTGCTTCCACCTCAACACCGTGAGCAGTATGAAAAATCATTCATTGGACCACTTAACATTTTTGCAAACAGTGATGGTGCTTTGAGAACAAAGGTGCCTCCTCCTGCGCATTGCAAATCAGGAGTAAAGACAGCAAACCTCACAGGAACAGGCTGCTCTGAAGCAGATACATCAGCTCCCCTGCAACAAAGCAAGAGCCCTCAAGTGCCCAGGCTAGGAAGAAAGCCATCCTCTCCCTCACTCTCTCCTCTCATGGGGTTTGGCAGCAAGAAAAATGCAAAGAAAATTAAGATTGACCTAAAGAAAGGTAATTATTAAATTATGCTTAATAGCATTCTATTATTGTAGCATGTAAAATTGGTTAAGAGAAATGCATTAAGGCTAATTTAGTTAATTCTCCCTTCATTTAATTGTATCAAAGAATAGATTTAAGTGTGTACTTAGGTAACTTAAATTTCTTGAAATTGTGGTACTTTCTTATTCTTTTCTTCTGCAGATTATAGATTATTTGAAACAAGAAAATAATGAAGACATGTTGGGGACTGGAAAGAATCATTGCAAACTTGATAGAAACACAGCAATATTGTGTTACAACTTAATACTAAAAACACATTGAAATTCAGCCGTCCTTGTTTTGAACACAATTCGTGATTTTTGATGCATTCTTTAAGCCAAGTCCAAATAACATATTGTTTCTCATTATCTAAAACAGTTTTATAGCAGTAAAGAGTTTACTACCCAGAAACCAAATATTTAATAATTATTAATTTTGTTGATTTAACATTACAAACATTCTTTTGAAAGTTACCTAGTTTCAAAGTATGTATAACCTTTGCTTGATTCATGTCAACTTTCTATTCATTTCCAGCACAGTACTGTAAGACGAGCTCATGTGTGTACATGCATATTTATGCAATATTGTACACACCCATGAGCATTCATGCGCTTCTATGCGTTAGTTCATTTTATAACCTCTGCCTGATATTATCCTCCCCTATTGCAACCTTCTGAAATCCTGTGTGTTTCAAGAAAATGCCAAAGAAACTTAAGATTTTCAAGATTCTTATCTGAATTAATAGATCATTCAATGGCCATAGGTAGCTTTAAAATATATATTAATTCATTTCTAAAACAAATGATATAGCTTTATAAGGATATAGGGATTATTCTGAGAAAATTCTTTTAGCAAAATTCCATTGACCTATAAGAATTCTAGAAGAAAACAAATGTAGGCCAGCGGTGTGGCTCACCTGGCTAATCCTCCGCCTGCGGTGCTGGCACTCCGGGTTCTAGTCCCGGTTGGGGCGCCAGGTACTAGTCCCGGTTGCTCCTCTTCCAGTCCAGCTCTCTGCTGTGGCCCGGGAGGGCAGTGGAGGATGGCCCAAGTGCTTGGGTCCCTGCACCCACACTGGAGACCAGGAGGAAGTACCCAGCTCCTGGATTCAGATTGGTGCAGCACCAGCTGTAGCAGCCGTTAGGAGAGTGAACCAATGGAAGGAAGACCTTTCTCTCTGTCTCTCACTGTCTATAACTCTCTCTCTGTCTCTCTCTCTCTCACTGTCTAACTCTGCCTGGCCAAAAAAAAAAAAAAAAAAAAAATGCATTGATTAGGAGGCACAAATACTCCAGTATGCCTTGCATTTAGGTTTCGTTAACTCCATCAGTAGATCGGTAGTTTTGGAGGTTTTTTTTGTTTGTTTTTTGCTTTTTGGTTTTTTTTTTTGACAGGCAGAGTGGACAGTGAGAGAGAGAGAGAGAGAGAGAGAGAGAGAAAGGTCTTCCTTTGCTGTTGGTTCACCCTCCAATGGCCGCCGCGGCCAGCGCGCTGCGGCCGGCGCACCGTGCTGATCCGATGGCAGGAGCCAGGAGCCAGGTGCTTTTCCTGGTCTCCCATGGGAGTTTTTTTGTTTTGGTTTGTTTGTTTGTTTTGGTACAAATTTTCTGGCTATGTATAAGTCACAGAGTTTGGTGCTTTAAGGGAAATAAAATTAACCAGACACAAAATTATTTTGAAAATCGATCAGAAAACTTTGAATGTAAAAGCAAGGCATATGGCATCACAGCTGTATTTGGGAAGATTAATCTGACAGCCAAAAGATGTACTAAGGGAGAGACCAGGATCAGTGAAGGGTACATTTTATCTGTCTGAATGTGAAAACACAACATTGGTGCCTTAGGAAGGAAGGAAGGGAGGAATGACAGTTATTGCTGAGGTTTTCAGCCAAGGCAACTTGCATGATACAAATGTATTTGCTAGAAATAAGAATTTTAAGTAGATGAGACTATTTGTAAAGGCCAGGATCTGGATTGGAAAGGGAGGCACATAGTCAAGTTTGAAATTCACATGGTGATATGCAGGAAGCTGATGTCAGAAAGACAGATTAAGGCCAAAGAGATTCAGGTGTCTTCCACAGTGAGATCGTTGAAGCTAGGAGCTGGCCAAGGCAGGTACTAGAAGATGAAGCGGCCCAGATCAGAGCATGGAGGAACTGCTAGGTCAAGATCAAGGTGTGTGAACGGAGAGGTAGGAAAGTAATCATAAAATAAAGGCATAACAACCGAGAGGAGAGTACATTTAAAAAAAAATTAATGAGATGCTGTTACTCATCTTTTCACTCTTTTAAAGAAAGATCAAAGATAGAATTTCTTGATATGGGTTTTTATAGGTCATCGGTGATGGAAGTTTGAAAAAGCAGTAAGACTGGAGTAAGTTTCCTTAGTGTGGAGAAATCTGAGCCTACCTTAAGACAGAATGAAAACTGCAGTGGAAGGGAGAAAGGGAGCTGCAAGAGAACAGAGCAGGACAGCAAGACTTGATGCAATGGGGCGCAGGAAAGGGAGGAGCTCCAGGTTGCCCACTGGTTCAGAGACTGACAGAACTCATGCCAGATGCCCTGGCCTACCAGCAGAGTATGAAGTGAAGTTACGTTTCCTGAGAAGTCAGTTCCTCAGAGTATATGGATAACATGTGCATTGCTTCTACAACCCAAATAAAAAGAAAGTTACACATCATTGTTGGGCCCAGAATTTGCTTTGATGCCATCATGGCCTGTCAGGAACTGTAATCTCTATCTGGAACCAGAACACCTGAAGCATATTGAAAATATCCTGAAATGTAAAGGTTTTACTTACTTGTGCACTGATCTAAGTTAGGTCGAATGCACTGTGAGACTGAATGTAAGGTGATTCATCCTTAAGGTGACTCGGTGTTTCCCTGGTCTTCTGTGCTAGGCCCTGAAGGACTTGGTTTCACTGTGGTTACCAGAGACTCCTCCATACATGGTCCTGGTCCCATTTTTGTAAAAAATATTTTACCAAAGGGAGCAGCAATAAAAGATGGCCGCCTACAATCAGGGGACAGAATTTTAGAGGTAAGCATTGGAACTGGTATCTTCAATAAAATATTTTTGATGGTCAAATAATTATACAAAGATCCCTTTAAATATTTATATCTTGAATACAATATATTGAAAAGTATTACTCCTAAATGAGGTAAGAACTTCAATTATGCCATTACTTAACGGATAACTTAACTTTGTAAGTCTCCAGTAAGGCCAGTGATAAGGGGCCAAGTGATAATGAAAACTTCTCTTTATCTTTTTATTTAACTCTCTGGTGGCATGAAATCAATGTTACAGCTTTCAATACAGTTCTACATCATGAAAGACTGTGTACCATATGATTAAAATGTCATGAAATAAAATATCTCAATCTGTGATAATCTGGAGACTATAATATTTTAAATATGGAACACACTGTAGGATCATTTGCTGGTTGTGTTGGGGAGAAAACGATGCCAGGTGAGCACTGGAAATCTGCTTCCTTCTCATTTAAGGAATCATTCTCTGGTTCTCCCAGTTTGATTTTCCCCTCATGAGAATGTGATATTTTAGGAAAAACTGCTAATATTAATTATTGAGTTTGTCCAGTATCAGAGTAAGGGTGGTTATTGAAATAGTTGGTTTTCATTCATCAGTTTGATTTTCATTTTCTCCTAGCTTTATCGATGATAGGAACCCATGGGTGGGGTAGAAGGGGATAGTGAGTGTCGTAATTGTGACTGTTCAAATGATTGCACTCATTAGGTAAATGGCAGAGATGTCACTGGACGAACTCAGGAAGAGCTCGTGGCCATGTTGAGGAGCACCAAACAGGGAGAGACGGCATCGCTGGTCATTGCTCGCCAAGAAGGAAATTTTCTGCCCCGAGAACTGGTAATGTTCAGCTCTCAGGCTCACTGAATTTTCAATGCAGAATTTAAGCAACCAGTGAATTCATTGAAGCTGTGAGATAAGTTCTAGTTGAATATTGTTGAACAGTTGCTTAATTCAAACAACCTTTAGTAATAAACAACTATTCAACAATATTCAGCAAATTCAATATTTAAGCATACATTGGATGTGTCCTAGATGGTAGGCCCTTCACAAAACACAGTTAGTAAAATAGTACATGACCCTACTTGGATGGAGTTCACAGTCCCCATTAATATATGTAATACAAATAAAACTATAAGCAAGTGCTCAAAATGGCGATGGAGATTTTGAATGGGAAGTGCAGAGTGTCATGGTAACATGGAATAAGGGAATTAAATATATTATTGAGGTCTGGGAAAGGTATCTGGTGGAAGATATTCCAAGTCTTATTAAAAATGTGCATTCTTTGACCAAGTAACTACATTTCTAGTACTGTGTCCTAACCTGATGGTCAAACATGTGGGAAAATATCATGCATTCATTTTTTTCTAAAGTGCAATCTATTGTATTGGCATATTGGGTGCAGAATTGGCATTGCTTAGATAAGTAACTAGGTAGTTCTTTAATGAAATATAATAAGTAATTAAAATGATTTCTATGTGATAATAACAAAAGAAAATGTTAATAGTATAACATTAAATTAAAATGTAGGGCATAAAATTATATATGTAGAGTGACCAAATTACATTTAAAAACTTTTTTAAAAATGGAAGGACGTGCAGCTAGAATGTTGGCATTATGAGATATTTTCATTTATTTTTTTTTACAATGAATGAAAGTTATTTGCTTTGTTGAAATGTATTTTTTAAAAAATTACAGAAAACTCATCAGTGGATAGACACTTTCTTGGCTATTGTGAATGGTGGTGTAGTAAATGTGAAAGTGCAGATGTCTCTTCAAAAGATTTACTTCATTTTCCCTTAGATATGATTGCTGGGTCAGCTGGTGGTTCTATTTTTAGTTTTTGGAGGAACCTCCTTACTGTTTTCCACCATGGCTATACTAATTTGCATCCACATCAACAGTGCAAGGGTTCCCTTTTCTCTACATCCATGCCAGGACTTACCGTTTTTGTCCTTCTGATAATAGAATTTGTCACTAGAATGAGATGATGTCTCATTTTGGTTTTGATTTGTGTCCCCTGTTGATTAGTGATTTTGAACATTATTTCCTGTACCTGTTGGTCCTTGGCATTTCTTTCTTTGAGAAATGTATTTAAATCAACTGCCATTTTTAAATTGAGCTGTTTGTTTTGCTAATGAGTTCCTTATCTAGTCTAGTTATGGATCCTCTTTCAGGTAGATAACTCGCAGATATTTTCTCCTGTTCTGTAGGTTGTCTCTTCAGTCTGTTCAACTGTTTCCTCTGCTGTACAGGAGTTCTTTGGCTTGATAAAATCCTAATTGCCTATTTTTGCTTTTGTATCATAAAAAAATGCTAAATGTTTGAAAAGGTATATTTGCCTGGATTGGATATTATGCAATATATATGATTATTGAAACTTCACATGGTACCCTATAAATATGTACAATTATATGTTTTTGTTACTTTTTAAATTAAACATATTTTTAATTAAAAAATGCTCTTATGGCTCTTAGCAAAGCAAAACATGCGATATAGAATGTTTGTCTATGCTCTGGAAGGAGCAGTCGTGGTGGGGAGGAGGGCAGAAGAATGAGGGGTATAACTCATAGCTCTCTACTTGACTATTCCAGGTATAACCTTTTTAGGAAGTAGAATTCTGAACTTCAGCTTCATCTCCTCACTGAAAAATCTTGCTCTTTCTAGACTTGGAGTATAGATTTTTTTTTTCTCTAAGATGGAGATGGATAATTCTTTCCTTTGTTAATCCTAAGACCTATGTCCTTCTGTACAAAGTTCAAAGTGAAAACAACCAGTTACAAAGAGGGCCAGCACATGTATGTAGCAGGCTCTTTGACATATGGTCTAATTATTTGGTCGCAGGACATAGACCTCAGAAAACTTCAGTGGGACTATGTGTTTATTTCAAGGACAGGACAACAAGGAAAAAAGCTTTGACTGTGCATTCTGTTGAATTAAGGTCCCAAAAAGAATAAAACTCATGAAGTAAGAGAAAAATTCTAATCAGTGCAAACATAAAAGAAGCTAATGACAGAGCTCCAATTGGAAATTTAAACCTCTGTGAGCCCCAAGTTCCCCATCTAATATTTCCTTGTACCCCTGTCTCATATGTCCTCTGGAATTCCCAACTGCATAGCTAATTATTTCTTCCTAGAGGCTGCCCCCTCCCTCTCAGGTAATGGGGAAAACAAACAAACAAACAAACAAACAAAAAAACATGCCAACCTTAGTTTTAAATCTTAGCTTAAAACTGAATACATTTTCCATCAAAGATGATTACATCTAGAAGTTGGAAATGGAATGGTAGAATTTTTGAACTGCTTAGCACTATACAAATCAGTAAGTCCAACTCTTGATTTCGCAGATAAAAACAGGACCAGTGCATGGTCCCACAATGAGCTGGAACTAAAGGCCTAGTTTCCTAATGCTTACCATTATTTTTGGAGTTCAGCTTCCAGAATTCAATTTCTTGTATAGCACTTACTAGCTGTATGATCTATAACAGGTCACAAAATCATTCTGAGACTCAGTTTCCTTATTTGTATCATGATACCCATGAAGATTAAATGAGATAAGGCATGCAAAGCTCTTGGCATAGTTTCAGGACAACTGTACATTGGCTATAATCAGTTCTAGCATATCACTACTTCTGTAGTACTGTAAATATAATACTATTTTAGATATATTCTGAAGTAAATATATTGATACAGGCTCACCTAAGACTAACCAGTATATCTGACCAGTGATTGTTTTCTTTTTTATTATTTAAAAATATGTTTTGGGATCCAAAACACTGAATTACAAACAAAAACTTTATAACCAACAAACTTAATAAGTGAGGTACCCTAATATATATAATATATAATATATAATTTTACTCTCATTTTTTAAAGATTTATTTTATTTGTTGTTTGAAAGTCACAGTTACACAGAGAGAGGAGAGGCAGAGAGAGAGAGGTCTTCCATCCTATGGTTCACTCCCCAGTTGGCTGCAATGGCCGGAGCTGCGCTGATCCGAAGCCAGGAGTCAGGAGCTTCTTCCAGGTCTTCCATGCAGGTGCAGGAAACCAAGGACTTAGGCCATCTTCTACTGCTTTCCCAGGCCATAACAGAGAGATGGATAGGAAGTGGAGCAGCCGGTCTTGAACTGGAAATTCAGGCCAGGGCATAACCTTCTGCACCACAGCACCGGCCCCCTATTTTACTCTAATTTAATAGATTTAATAAAAATTGCTTTCTATACCAAAAATGACATCATAATCCAATCCCACCAGGGAGTATGTTAATTAATCCTGAAACTGTGAGATTTTGAGTACAAATAAATTGTTTGTTTTCATTGTTTTTAGCTTTATTCAATATTTGGAGGGCACGTGGTTAGAATTTATATTTGGGACATGCTCAGGCTGACTTGCCCCAAGTGGTGGAGTTGGAAGCATACCAGGGGATTCCAATTCAATCCCATCGAGGTGGCATGTACCAATGCCATCTCACTGTTCCAGGTGATCAGTTTCAGTTCACAGTTGGTCATGGTGAAGGGACTGGGAGTCAAAGGGAGCACATAGACAAGTCTAGTACCTGCTAATGCTAACTGATGGAGTAAATAAAGGGGAGAGTGATCCAACATGGGAAGTGAGAATCTCAGCAGACTCATAGAATGGCAGATGTCCTAAATAGCACTCTGGCCTCAGAATCAGCCCTAAAGGCATTCGGAGCTGGCTGAAAAGCTCATGAGAGTATTTCAGGCATGGAAAGCCAAGACACTCTGGCAAAAGATCTCTGCGAGTGAGATCCCAGTGGAAAGAACAGGCCATCAAAGAAGGAGGTACCTTTCTCTGAAGGGAGGAGAGAACCTCCACTTTGACTATGAGCTTGTCTAAACAAGATAAGAATCGGAGAACTCAGAGGGCTTCCATAGCCTTGGAAACTCATGACTGGAGCATAGGGAGATTACTGATGCCATAGACAGGAGTGTCAATTGGTAAAGTCAACAACAGGAGTCACTGTGCACTTACTCCTCATGTAGGATCTCTATCCTTAATGTGCTGTACATTGAGATTTAATGCTATAATGAGTACTCAAACAATATATTTCACTTTGTGTTTCTATGGGGGTGCAAACTGTTGAAATCCTTACTTAATGCATACTAAACTGATCCTCTGTAAAAAAAAAAAGAAAAGAAATTATCAATTCCCAACTTGACTCTCACTGGGATTAAACATGACAATAGGTCTGCTCTGATTTCATCATCATTTTAAAAAATCATCTATTATTTTTCACTTTATGTTTCTGTGTGGGAGCAAACTGTTGAAATCCATACTTAATGTATACTAAGCTGATCTTCTGTATATTAAGATAATCGAAAATGAATCTTGATGTGAATGGAAGGGGAGAGGGAGTGGGAAAGGGGAGGGTTGTGGGTGGGAGGGACGGTATGGGGGGGAAGCCATTGTAATCCATAAGTCGTACTTTGGAAATTTATATGCATTAAATAAAAGTTTAAAAAAAAAAAAAAAAAGAATTTATTTTCTTAGAACTTTCTAGAAATTATGTACTCTCTCAAAAATATTTGACAGTCAACCATCTAAATATGTTGGAATATTCTTTTTAATCAAAGTAAAGAAAGGGACTTTGAAGCTTACCATCACCTAAGTCATATAGACCCAGAATCTTATTTCTGGAGAAAACACTGGAGTAGAATTTCCCCAGAATGCTGTCACTGAGTGCTAAGAAGCAAGCATGAGTCATGCAGGAAGTTTAAAGAGAGGTCATATGTGGCACGCATAGGATTGCAGTGGGAATTCCTTCCTAAAGTGGCAAGGGCTGAACCATTTGAAAGAACAAAATGAGCAGTGTGTTAT